GGGTAAACCAGGACCCGGAAAACCAGGAACTTCTCAACCCAGGAACACGGAGAAGGATTCACGAAGAAGTCCGGAACCAGGAATAACCGGGAGTCTATGCCGAAGATCCACAACCAGGAAACCGTAAGCTTAAGTACTGGAGCAAGTCCAACTGTACAAGCTGACACCGGAGATGTTACAAATCTGACAATGCTGAGCCCCGAATACAGGGTTAATCAACCTTATATACAAGGAAGCGACCAGTAAACCGATTCTGATTGGCCACTGCATAATCAGCAACACTCAAAGAGTGTTCTGATAATTAACGCTTCCTGACAGTTTCTAGCCTTCCAAGATTTTACAGCCAAAGAACTTGGTCAATTACACATCAGTCTGGAAATCCATGGGCTACGATACCTTGTCAAGACCAGTGAGGAGGTCCAAGTATGATGGTCTGGATAAGGAGTGTCTAGCAGCTACAGAGGTACAGACCTCACTTGTAGTGTTTGATGGCAATGCTACTGCTTAGCTCTGCATGGATCAAGTCCTGGGACCTCACTTGCTGCCCTTCTTCTGGGCTCCACTTCACATGACAAACATTCCAGCACAACAAAATGTTGCTTGTAAAATAATGGCTTTTCTTTCTTTAGAGATTAGAATGTGACAGTTATACAGAAGACCTCTACGTAAAGAAAATTAAGTTTTCTAAATTCTTAGTTAAAGGTCTTTCATTGTTAAGACAGCAAAAGGTATTTATCCAATATTGTATTCAAGCTCACAATTTTCAACAAATTAACTCTAAAACCATGACTTGGTTGAGATGGATCCTGAGATACATTAGTGCAGCATAAATATTCAAAATTACAACCCTCTATTATATACTTCTGAAATACAAGTCTAATCAAAACATGCTTTACAATTTGGATTTTTAAATAAAACTACAGGTAGCATTATTTTGTATTAAAATTATTATTTTGCTACAGAATAAGTCTTATGTTTTGAAGGGGTACATCTTATGGAACATTCAACATCATTGAGTATCGTAAACGTACACAATGTAGACCAGATTGAGCAAGTCCAATGTGGAATCGGCCCAGTACACAAAATTATTTTATGTTTTTTTACCAAGAGCAAATGTAACATTAGAAACATTTTGTAAATGAAAAAATAAGCTTATCTTAAAAAGAAGTTGCAATCTTGTTCATGTAAAAAACAATGATATCACCAGGAATCAAACTTCTTTGTGAGCTGGCTTTTCTTGGATATGTAAATCCAATTCTTGACTTTTAAACTCAAAGGCTTTTTAATGCATGAAGTTCAGACTTTTTTCAAGATTATGTCCACCATATACAGTATTTTTGGATGCTGAAAGTACATTATGTGGTATAATAAAGCATCTTATGTTTTACTTACATAACTAAACAAAAGACAGGTGCTACCCGTATGATGAACAATGAACACTCATAACTGTTGGCCAAATGTCTACATGTATATATAGCATGCTGCATCAGTAATGTAGAATTGATTTTATTGTTGCTATGGAAATATTCCTTTGGAAAGACATGTATTGAGCTTCTACTGATCAATAATCAAAAAAGACATTATTACAGCTTTTTTGGATTTTACAATATACCACTAGTCTATTTTAGGTAAGTGAACAATGATATACTCTAGACACTTAAACCTGATCTAAACCTGGTCAAAGATCAACATTCCAAAGCATAAATAAAAACACCCACATGAAGTTAACAGGAAGCACTTTCACAGCTAAATTTAAAAAATGCTTAAATTGTCTACAACACAGGCTTGGAATAAATTATGTTGTTTTCCCTGCCATCTGAAAATTGCAAACATAGAAAGAAAGGTTTCTATGGAGCTGCAGAAGTATTCCTATTACTATTGTCTCTTTTCTTTAATTGACTGCTAACACTTGCCAGGATGTAAATAAAGTGAGAAGCATTTCAGTTTTTTAATGTAGAAGCCTAATAATACAGATCTGACTCTGGTGTTTAGAGATTTGAGAAACTAATAGTTCATAATATTCGTTATGCTTTTCCATCCATCAATTAACAGACAGCTGTTTATTCCTGGTATAGGTCACAGCAGCTCAGTGCTGCTTTTGACACTGTTAACCATGATATCTTACTTTCTTGTCTTGAGACTGTTTTTGGAGTTTGTGACACTGCTCTTAAAAGGTTCAAGTCTTACCTCATACTGGGCTCCCGATGTTAGAGAATTTACATGTTTCCCTTCGGTCTGCTTTTAAGATCACATGGCCTCAACTATAATTTCTATGCTGACAATAATCAAATCTACATCCATATTAAACCTGGCTTGACGTTCGACCCATATTGTCAAAACATCATTCTTTCACTTCAGAAATATCACCAGTCTAAGTCCTATGTTATCGCTAACTGTGACTGAAAAGCCGAGCAACACCTTTGTCTTTGTCGTTGTCCAAAAACTCCTTCAAATCTAAGCTCAAAATCTTCTTCTTTATAAGGGCCTTTATGTAACTTGTTCTATTATTAATCCTTTTGCTCCTACCATATCAGTACTCCCATCTACTTTCTCCTCTCATTGTATATTCTCATTGTGCATATCTTATGTATTTTTATTGTTGTTGTCATTCTGTAAAGCTCTTTGAGAAGCCACTTTTAAAGGTGTATTTATTATATAGGATTTATTATGCAAATTTATTTATTATATACTGATATATATATATACAGTACATACTTTATCTTCTACAAATCACATGAAATAAATGTGTAAATCAACATTAGCACAACACATCATTCTACACCATAACAATGGCCTTCTGAAAGACTTTCTGATGTACTAAAACAAATTAAAATACAACAGTTTTCTTAACAACATAAACTTCTTCAGTACTTCGATGCAAACAAGTGGTCATCTACAGGAAAGCAGTGGGAGGAAGTGAAAATGTATA